CCACAGCGGGAGCGGTAGAAACCTCTGACCCATACTCTGGAAGATAGCCAGTGATGGGGTGCGGAGAAGGCCCCGCCTCAAGCTCAGGCTGAGCATAAAGGAGGCCCCCAGGGGCTAGGGGAAAGCAGAGGAGCACCATGAAGACCCAGAAGGATGGCTGTTCCCTGCGGGGGTGGGCAGTCCTGCTGCTGCTGCTAGTCTGGGTGGCGCCGGCCTCCCTTGAGGATGTGTACCGCTACCATGAGGCTGTGCTGCGGCTTGTGGATGGCCTCAACCAGAGGTCCTCGGAAGCCAATCTTTATGGCCTCCTGGAGCGGGAGCGGGAGCCAGACCTCGATGGAGTGAGTTGGTGGGACCTCTGCTCTGGCCTGACTGGGTCTCACTGTCACTCCTGGTCTCCTGTCCCGGCTGCTGTTTGCTGTACCTCCTGTACCACCACCTTCAGGCAGTCTTCCTAGAGCAGGGTCCAGCCTGAGAGCATACACTCCCTGCGGTGTGCAGAGGTGTCCCTCTCCCCCTGCAGGCTCCAGGTGCTCCGAGAGCTCCAGGGATGAGGGGAGTCATTGCATCTGGAGTGAGTGACCTTCTGCTCTGTACACCTCCACTCCCTGAGGTGGAGTGAGGTGTCTGTTCTGAGAGGCCACTGATCTCCCTGACCCCCCCTGCAGAGGGGGCGGGGCTCCTCATTAGAGCTTGTTGGCTCTGCCACCACTCCGTGGACCCTTGTGGGGGGCAGGACTGGGCTCTGTCCTCCTCAGCTCTGTGCCCAGCTGTTGAGAGGCTACTCTCAGGGCGGGAGGAGACGGAGGCTGAGACCACATGAGGCTGAACGTGGTCCTCCCTCTTCCCATCTCTTCCCAGGATTATAATCCTCACCTCCCAAAGCATGTGGGTTTCACGGTGCAGGAGACAGTGTGCTCCAAGAAGTCAGGGAAGTCTGTTGAGACCTGTGACTTCAAGGAGAATGGGGTGAGGCTGGGCTATGAGGGTGCTGGTGGGGTGTCTGGAAGACCAGGGGCCAGGGGCACCCAGGGGACATTTCCAGGCACGAGGACGGAGCTGGGAGGGCAGGGCACACAAGGGGGTTCAGTCTGACATTGGACGCTTCTTCCCAGAAGAGGAAGTACTGTTCAGGGACCATCGGTCTGGAGGAGCCCCTAGACTTCTTGGATGACCTCATCTGTGAGTGGGTGAGTGACCAGTGCTGGGCAGCGGGGACCGACTGGGACAGGCAGAGAGTGGCACATCCTCTGGACCCAGAATTAGCGCCTCACCCAGGACAGAAAAAGCCCTGCTCCCTGGTCTCCTCCCTCTGCCTGAACCTGAAGCCTCCCATCCCCTGATTGCTAAGCAATCCCATAGAGCAGTGCTTCTCCCAGTGTGGTGCTCAGCTGGGGACTTGTTAGAAATGCAAATTCTCAGGCTCCACTCAGGCCCCCTGGATCAGATGCTGCAGGTGGGAACCAGCAATTTATGTGCTAACCAACCTCCCAGGAATTCTGAGTCTGCTAAAGTTTGAGCACCCCTCCTTAGAGACTTGGGCTCTCAGCTCAGCTCTGCTGAGGATGGTCCCTGTGAGCCCGGAGGCGCTGGCATTTGAGGTCTGAGTGTCCCCTCTGTTCACTGGGAGCAGGAACTCAGCGGCCTGCTCCAGAGAGCACTGCTGGAGCACCAGCTGGGGCTCCAAGGCTTGGGTGGGGGGTGGGTGGTGACCTAAGCATGGGATTCTCGGTGGATGGGGTCTTGGCGTGACTGCTCACCCAGTCCCTCAGGGAGCTTGCTTCTTCCTGATGCACAGAATTAAGGTGCCAAGTGCTTTGCCGCCTGCCTAATTCTGACCGGAGATCCCAGAGAAGATTGGCAAACCTACCGAGTACATTCTGGAGCGACCGGAGAACAGTGCCACCGTCTTCATCCCTGGTGGTATGCGCCTTAAGGTCCTCGCACAGGCCGGCAGATTCGGAAAATAAACTCCGTGAAAGCAACTTCCGTCAGGCTCCCTGGTCCTCTCTCCCGTCCCTTCTGCCATCAGCCGAGTCCTTACATTTGGGGGGCTGGGCACACGCATGCGTGCGGGGGTGTATGTGACATAGGAGTGCGTGGGGACAGGGACCGAAGCAGTCCTGGGTGCGTGCAGTGGTGGCGACACCAGGCAGCTGTTGCTGCTCACATGGTGGTGACAGTGGACAGTGTAAGATAACATAGAGACCGATTCTTACCTTACATTTCTTTTTT